AGTAATTACATCGTCGTTTGCTTCAATCTTTGATCCAAGCAAAGGATTTCGACCAGACTATTCGTATACAGAAAATGATTGGTCTCCAGTGACTTATGAGCAAGGTGCTGCTGCAAAAAACGATCCAATGACGGCTTATCGTGCATCAAAAGTATGTGCTGAACGTGCAGCATGGAAGTTTATTGATACAGAGAAACCTTCATTTACAATCGCAACTATATGTGAACCTATGGTTTTCGGGCCACGCGTTAATGGTTTCAAATCATTGGATGATATCAATACATCCAATGCAATTGTACGATCACTAGTTACAAGCGGCAAAGATGCTCAAGTTCCTGAAACACGTGTACCCTTCGAAGTTGATGTAAGAGATGTGGCATATACACATGTGGCAGCTTTAGAACGATTAACTGATACAAACGAACGTTACCTAATAGCAGGAGCAACCTGGAGTTTTCAGGAAATAGCTGATATTGTTCACGAAAGTACCATTATTCTGGATAGTATCAAAAATACAACTCCAGTTGGTACCAAAGGTCAACAGTTGCCGGATCATTATCAAATTGATAGTTCCAAAGCGCAAAAGGAATTACATGTTAAATACATTCCTTTGAAGAAAACAATAGAAGATTTAGTTTTGCAATTAACTGAATTGCAAACAACACTAGGACAATCATGATTACATCGTAATTATTATTGACCAAATTGATTTTTTTATTGTGTAGTTTTATCGTTATTTCAACATTTATTTCAATTTTTAATCATTTCTGACGATAATTGCAAATATACACTCTAAAATATAAAATCATCGCCAAACTGCTTTGTATTAATTTATCTTAATATGAGAAACAAAGGTACATGAATAATAATTACAAAAGTAAATCTTAAAATAAAACAATTTCTGTTAGACAATATGTATTCCATGTCTCTACATGTAATTGAATTTGACATAGTTGTACTATAACTATCAAAGTTTTGAACTGTTTACTGGTAAAATTGTGTATGTGGTTGTGAATCTTCTCGTGGCCGTTACTCCACACCTTTTTATTCACACTCAAATAGATCCTACATATAACTTTTCAACTTGTCATGCAGTACGAATGTTGTAGATTCTGAGTCTTCTCATACGTACTAATCTGACATTTGAGATTCGTACTGAAACTGATCGAGTGTCTATGTATATCACAATAGGAAATAGAGGAAAAAACATGTCATATCATCCAGCACGTTCAAAATCAATGGATGGACTCGACTTTGTTTTTCAATCATGCAGGCATAGTGGATTTTGATCATCATGTCAGCGAACATCACCATAATGTACAGCACTTTATCGATTGATTAAAGAAGGAAAAATATGCTTACAAATGAAACCCTTCATACGCCAGTAGTGGAGTCCGGAATATTTATGTTCGGGTTCATAAAATTTTTCGAAAAACATGGTTCTCATAATTAAAGTGCTATTGATATCTTACTCTGATTCTTGTTTATAATAATCGATCTTGAAATCTTTGACGTTGATGATTTCGAAAGCAGAAAGAGAACATGATCGAATTCGAGCGACTGAAAATATTTTCGGGACACTTCCCGCTTACTTTTATATGTCGTAAATTTCAGATCAGTGGAAGAATGCAATACTAATTCGATCTGGACATTTCGACAAATTTCATCGAATTGATATCCTCTAAAGAGTTACTGTAATTCTTTGTCGTTTTGCTTAATGTTTCTCATATTTCGGAAGCAAGAAACGCCACCGCTGGTGTATTTAGTAGTAACAATTCTCTTTCCATGATCCATATCAATGAACAAGAACTTCGTTTTATCTGTGTATTTTATAGTTCTGCTCTACTAATTTTAAATCCAGTATAATTCTTTGAAATTTCAGCAGGAACCTTTCATTCAATTCACTTTCTAGCTCAGTTTTGTCTTTTCAATAGTGTAGATGAAAGTTTTTTCTTCTTCTATACCGCCACCCAAACTCGATCACAATCACACATTCCACATCCATTTATCCTCAAACAGCTCGTTATCATTCATCGTTTTTTATTTTTCCGTGATCCTTGCATCATGCAGTTTCAATGACTGGACCGACAACTTGAATGCTTTATTCTTGACTCGCACAAACATCTTATTTCAATTTTTCGGCTTCAAGAAAAAGCGATGACTATACATTAAGGATGACTGAACAATAAAAATCACAAAAACAAGTGTTGAATCAATCTGTTATTGTTATTACTGCGTCATTGTCATCGAGAGGACATAAAGCTGTTTGCTCCAGAGAAACGATTAAGGCTTTACTTTCAAGTATCTCCAAAATAAGCAAATATTTGCTTAAGTTCTCTTTGCTCACAATCATCTAACCCGTGATGTATGCACTCTCATTCATACTCCTTGAAAGTCTAATCTTACTTTGCTTTATAAGAAAATGTACATATACATGGCATTGCCTACATATGATCGTATTACAATTCGACTTTATTCCGAATTAAGATACTTTATCTCTTACTGCATGAATTGCAGTGTTATGACAAACTACTTCAGGAGATCTTGTTTTTATAAAGGGTTATACCGCTTGCATTGTGATAGACACTACACTCCGTGTGATTGAGACCAAATTTTAAATGTTTCAAACTGAACTTTGTAGATTTTGTAGAGTGCTATTTTTTATACAGTAGATTCAAGTGTTCGTATTTGAAGCTTACAAGTTACACCTATAAACGTTTGAATTTTTTGTATGATGACGGAGAATTAGATAATTTATTTTCTTTTTCTTTGAACCTATTCAACATTGATTGTTATTGATTGCTGCCTAATGATCAATTTCATTTTCCTTCTTGGTTTTATTGGCTCTTTGGTCGTCGTTGGCCATAGTGTAATATTCTATCCACTTTTGTATGAGTTTGATAAGTCTCTTTCGAATATTTTAGCGCTGTGAATATATAATTAGATTTCCATTCCCTCGTCCATCTTGTCAAGCGAGATGTCATGCAACCACAGATCGATATATTTAACTGAGATACTCTCCATCATGTTGCATACCTGTTAAATGTTACATCTTCGTCTTTTTCTCGGACTATTCGCATTACTGCGGCTATGTTCATTTATCATGAACGAATCAACTCACGTTTTATTATCTGATTTTAGACGAAAAGCAATGGTGAAATACAATATATGCGCTTCGAATGTGGTACATGTTACTCACAAACTGCTGTTCCATTTGATTTCGAAGCATTTGACCTGACATACTGTCCTTCAAATTCGAAGCTCTATGTCATGTTGGACACAATTCGAAGTGACAACAAACAACTGGCTATGGAATTGCACGTCGCAGAGTACACGAATGTTTAGTTCTTGTGTGTGACAGTGCATGGAGAAAACTAGTGTGATTAAAGGTATATTTTTTTTATTTGAAAAACCGAAAAAAAGAAGCTGTAAAATACATGCAAGGATCACTGAGAAAGTAAATGACTTTATCTGAATAAAATTACTATGTTACGGTACTCAGTAGAGCTGGGTATGGATATTAGGTGTGAGTGTGCAGTCTACTAACTTTTAATTCATTATCTTGTCGATTATTAATACTGGTGACCAGATACAAATATCAATATTCTAGGAAACAGTAGTTAACAATGAGAAATTTCATATTTGAAGATGGATGAATGATGATCATGTCTCTAATCATGCATTCATTCGTCTTCATTGCTAATAACTCGTGTGTTTGGTATGACAAATACAATTCGTCGATAGTAACTAGTATGATAAAAAAATAAGAGTAGAATAGCAAGAAAAGAGGTAACTTGTATTGAAATGAAATTTTGAGAATCTGTAGCAGCGAATAGAACAAACGGATCATGAAATTTTCTCGAAAGATTTGTTTTCTCAACAGTCCTCTCGCAGTTTGTGAATATAATCTGTGTTTCTGCAGAGAACGATCAACACATTGATGGGTGAACAAAAAAACGAATTTCGGCACTGGTCGGACCTCAAGTCAGAAAAGCAATGAATCTGCATTTTCATCAATCGAGTTCTTGATGATTTGTTTCAAAATTCTTTTTTTAATGATGTAACACGTATCACATATCGAATTCGAGATCTTTAAAGTGACTGCCACTCTGATGACATGTGTTCACAATAACATTTTGGATCTATCAACTCTATTAGAATCAATTAATGTGAACAAAAGACCGAATGGCACGGATAAACTGACATCGTGAATATGTCTTTGTCAAGTCGAGAATCCACATGCATAAAAAACTTTCTTGTCGATCGGTTTCGGTCAGTTGGATAGATTTTGAAGAAACAACATTATTCATACTTAACACATTACACAGCTGCGGCGAAGAATTGCACGTGTTAGAAAAATCTCAACATGAACAAGTTCATATCAAATAAATCAGTTTTGTTGTTTTCTTTATTAGTCATATTCGATCTCAGGTCTCGAGACGGTTAACTGTTTAACTCATAATTTTGACGAAGAATTGACACAAAGATTAACTGATATGGGCACCGTTCATGTGACGAACTTTGTTCATCAGTGAACTGTTATATTTCAGAAACGACATAATCTCTATGCATGAATGCTATTATAGAATCAAGTTCAAAGTGATATGAGCTCGAGTCTCTTTGTTTAGTCTCAAATGAATGATTATTTGTAGGATTTCCTTGATGAGAACTAAGCATCATCAAGCAGAAAGTTTCCCTGTTTGTATTCGCGTCTTGTCCGTCGAAAATTGAAGTTGTAGAACAACGAATTGTAATTGATATCATTCATGCATTACAATAATGACACTATATTGTTTAGTTTGAAGAGGTATTTGAAATAATCTGAAACAAAGTATAACACAAGTATCATGATAATAACTAAGCAAATATGACTGTATTGCTTTAAAAGTGTTTCTAGTCTCTGTATTCGTACTTCTCTACATGATCAACACTTGTCACTGAATATGACTCGAGTTTTGTTTCACGTGAATTTATCTTCAAAGGTTAAAAAAAGAGTATATTCAAAGATAAGAAATTGAAATATCAGCTTGATTCCACTCCGTTTCATTATGCACAAGTATCGTGCTGATTTCATTTTTTGTACAACACGGACCTGGAGGATAACCTCGGATATTTGAGGCCATGTAGTCGCCTCGAGCTGGAACAAAAACTTGAGACTTCAATTCCAGAAGCCATTCGGTTAGTTGTGCGTGAATCATGCATGATCCGCTCTTCAACGTTTCTTTGGTTTGAGCTATGCTATCGAAACGATAAAAACCCAAGTTAGAACTATTCACAGTCAGGTTCAACTGTGGATCAAGTTGTGATACCAGATATAAATCTTGGCCTAATATTATTGAATCATTGCTTGTTCGAACGAGATATTTAACATAGCCATCAGATATTGACAGAGATATATTGATACATCGAGTTACTGAAGAATCTATGGAAATACTTCCAAATTTCCACCCCCGAACATCATTAGCATATGACCACCATTTATTTGTTCGAGGCTCGTATGTCAAACCAATATCTAGACTAACACCATTAAAACGATTAAAGATCCCAAGACTAATAAAAAAGCCATCGGTTACCAATGTCACGTTAGCAGGTATGATAATAGTTGGTAAACACTGTATCAAAGTTGTAGATGAAAATGAATATAAGCATGATGTGTCAACACGATACCAAGCACCAGTACCACCACCATCCCATGCTTGCATGCAAGACAATACATACGGATGAAGATTGACAAAAATGAGGAAAAGATACAAGACGGCACAGTTCATGGGACAACTCTGAAATCAAAACAGAAATGCTGAGTTACAGTAAAACAAGACAAGATACAAAACAGAGGACAATTTTTCTTGGTTTGTAATCTTCGTGCTCTGTCGTACTTGCGACAATATTTGTCGGTGTATGTAGCAAAAAATGGTCACATGGTATAGCCAAGATAAGATGCTGAGAATATCATCGTGTATCTTTTTAGTGCTGACAACAATCGGACGAATCATTTCTCTTGCGTATTCATCTCCCTGTAGTTCGTCGTCATCTCTTATTCTTCGGGAAATAGACAATTATATACTCGTAAGATTGTGAGTACCAATAGTAGAATCAAAGAAAAATGAATACAATTTCTTGAGAATATTCCAGCCGAAATGGATTGATTGGCTTTAATGTTTCAACAAGCTAAGTTGATCATTTCAACAAGTCTCTGATAAGAAAGCATAGAGAAATTGTGGATATTTGAGCGAAAATTGGAAGGTTTTATCTTTTGCAGCCAAGACTGATGTTTCATATTGCTTTACGGTTACAAATGCTTGCTCTTCTTAAATTTTTCAGTTTTTTATTTTTGATGCCGAACAAAAAATACTATCGGTAAGACATCTGTCTTCATTCATTAAATTCTCTAGTATATCACTAAATGCATCCATTTGAAACTCAATTTCTCTGCGTCAATTTGAATGATCAATCGATGACAGTAAATGTCTAATTCGAGTTCGAATATAACTAAATAAAAAATTTTGAAGTATATAAGAATCACTGTAAGAAAGACAAGAAAAATATGATTTTATTTCAATTATTAATTATAATTGAGAGAGAACTGTCGTATAACTGTGGCAGAAGTGCACAATAAAAAATTTATTTCAATGGCAAGTTATCATGCAGACATTGTGTTAATGAACATGCTACATATTAGTGCTCATCAGATGACCCTTCAATCGACCACGTACCGAGGCTGACATAAACGTAAATATACGTCCTATGATACGATGGGTGCTTCAGATTTTAGCTACTGTGGAATTCGATACGTGATATAACTACCCAACAAATTGATTAAATTTCCAAAATATCGAGTACACATCCAAAATAGACGTAATCGTCATGAAGGACATCCTGGACATAATCGTTTCAATGAAAATACTAAGTCCTGTTGTTGCACATCTAATATTTTAATGCGATGTATTATGTGCCTCTTTTCACATCATTCTTATCTGCTACCACAGATGTGATAATGTTCCCGTGCTTACATCAGCTGTTGTCATGCTTGTATGTATTTCCACGTGTGTTAGTATTTCCTGGACACCTTTTTGTGTGTATGTGTTTCCATTCTTACACTCAAGATAGCAGTGATACCTGGATTGAAATCTGTGTAATAATCAATCTGTTTTTCTCATGCATTCAATAATGAAACAATTAGAGCTCATACGTTCAGTTGCATATTTAATCCATTTAGGTATGCAAGAATGTACGCGAAACATCACAATCGCTGTGTATACACAGAGACGCGCGTGGATCGCAGTTCTTCGGGAATTGCTATGCACCCTCACTCTGCAACACCAATGTAAAATGTCAATTATGCGGACAAACACGCTTTTATACAGGCGAATATTCAATATCTCGCTTTTGACCTATTGAAGTAATAAAAAGGTTGAGACATCAATTACTACACTGATATTATTATCTGTATTACGATAACAACTTCGATAAAATTTATCTTTTACTTATCTACCTTAGTTAAAGAACATCCCTAGTAGAATTACAATTTATAATTCAAAATAAATTCGTGTTAATTTTGGTATAGACAAGTGCTGTAGCTGTGTAATTACCTCGAGTCCTGCTAGAATTATTCGGCATCTAATCTATTGCACATATGCGCCATCTATCTATTAAGATTTGATTGCTTGATTATTATTTTTTTACGATGAATGATTCATAATATCCTCTTTCAGCAATTTTATAGTTTTTTTGCAAAAAAAGTTTTGTTTTTTGTTTTTGTTGTGGTTGTTGAAAATGACTACACGTCGCACTAGAAAATGGCTTTATGTAAAAGAACGTAAAGCAAAATTTGCTACTCGGCAAACAACACGTGCAGAAATTCTACATGTTGAAGAAGAAGGGTAAAATTATAAAAATATAAAACAATATTTAAATTGAATTGAATTTTTTTTATTATAGTTATATCGATCCAAATACTATTGATGATGAAGAACAGCAAACAGTTGATTTAACTCAAACAGATATTAAATCATCAGTCGATATATTTAGTGCACAAAAACGTTTTGATCTTGAGCTTCCATTATATGGCCCATATCATATTGATTACACACGAAATGGACGGTTAGCATTTATTAGAAAAAAAAACCATATTTAAATATTAAGTACGCTTTTTGTTTTATTTTTAGACACTTATTATTAGGTGGTCGAAAAGGTCATGTAGCTGCATTTGATTGGCAAACAAAAAAATTACATTGTGAATTGAACGTTATGGAACAAGTCAATGATGTAAAGTAAGAAATTTAAATAAATAATTTGCATTTTTTTAATGCTAATTTCTATGTCAGATGGTTACATATTGAAACAATGTATGCTGTTGCACAACGACAATGGACTTATATCTATGATAATCAAGGTGTTGAAGTACATTGTCTTAAAGTACTTGATCGCTCATTACATCTAGAATTTTTACCTTACCATTTTTTACTTGCTGCTACAGTAAATATAGATATTTTCATGTATTGATTTTTAAATAATATTCTTTTAGAACGAAGCAGGATATTTATCATATATAGATGTATCAATTGGTAAGAAAATCGCTTCTTATAATACAAGAATAGCAAATGGAAATGGTAAATGTGGTACATCAGTAATGTGTCAAAATCCTTCTAATGCACTTATTGGTCTTGGTCATGCTGGCGGAGTTTTAACATTTTGGTCACCAAATCAACGTGAACCATTAGTTAAAATGCTTGCACATAAATCAACATTAAGATCAGTAACAATTGATCAAACTGGAACGTAAGAAAAAAACTTTAATATAAAACTTTCAATCTTTTAATAAATATTTATTTTTAGTTATATGGCAACAAGTGGTATTGATGCAAAATTAAAAATTTGGGATTTAAGAAATTATAAATGTTTACATGAATATCGTACATCATCGAATGGTGCATCATCATTAGCATTTAGCCAAAAAAAACTATTAGCAGCAAGTTATAGAGATGTTGTAGAGGTAATAGTAATCATTTTCTATTATGAGACTATTATTTCAAAAGAAATTCAAAATACTATTAAGAACCTAAAACTAATTTCATTCATATAGAAATGATTTTTTTTTTGCTATAGATTTACAAGGATTTATATGATAATGAGTCTTCATCAAATGAATTACCACATTATCTTGTTCATCAATGTTCAAATGGTTCATCAGCATCATCATTAGCCTTTTGTCCATATGAAGATGTATTAGGTGTTGGACATGAACGAGGTTTTACTTCATTACTTGTACCTGGTGCAGGTGAACCAAATTTCGATGCATTAGAAGCGAATCCATATCAAACGAAAAAACAACGAAAACATGCAGAAGTTAAACAATTACTTGATAAAGTATGAAAATTTATTTTAAATAATTAATTGTTATTATTGTATATTTCTAAATTTAGATTCAACCAGATATGATAGCTTTGGATAATTCAATATTAAGTGAAATTGATCGAAAAGCATTTATACGACAACAAGAAGAAAAAAGAAATAATTTTAATTTTGTTAAACCAAAAGATTTAATAATTAAATCAAATAAGAAAAAAGGAAAAATTGGTAAAAAACTTGCACGTAAAACACAAATACGTGATGCTAAACTTAAAGAATATCTTCAACAACAACAATTAAAACGCAAAAAAACTCAAAATTGATATATTTTTGTTTTGTTTTCTTTTTGTTATCTGTTTTGAATAAAAATCAAACAACACAATTCTATTGTTTTCTTAAACAAAACAAAAAAAAAGGATTCAAAAATTTCGTTTTTCTGTATATTATTCCAGACAATGTTCGATTGGAATTGGCTTTGGTTAATCGGTGAACTTGGTGTATCTTATGGATTTTATCGATGGTGGAAATCGAATGATGATTTCTTGGCTGTTTTAGAGGTAGAAATATGTTTATCAAACTTTCAGATAGGTTTCATATGCAGAGATTTTTTTGCACAGAGAAACAAAAATTCACTTTGATTTATTTGCCTTTAATAATCTTTTATGAAAAATTTCGAAAAGTGTATTTCCTAGGAAATTATGTCTTCTATGAAAACGATAATTTCAACTGTATGTAAACTTATCAATATGTAGTTAATATCGAGGATTGTAATCGATGAAGAATTTAAATATGTATTAATCTGTTTTAATACTAATGGTAGATTTAGAGGAGAGGCACTAAAGGTGATCGTCGTAAAATATGTTTTGTGACCATGATTGATCTCCTATTTGAAATTCTAGATCCACCACTATTTCATATGTATGTCAAATTATTTCAATTGTTGTCAAATATTTAAGATAACTACTAGAATTTTTAAAACCTATCTTCATTAGCGTACGTGCGTCAAGGAAAAAGTACATACAGAAAGTATTATCTGAAAAAAAGGATCTCGTCAAATATCAAATCATTGAGGAAATTAGTTTTCATAATTACAGAATCTACCCGCGAGCACTCATGTATGAAAAAAAAAAGTTTCTGAGAAATTATTTACTATAGAAAAATTTTTAACGCGTTGAGTTTTTCTCAATAGAGAATATGTTCTATATTACGTTCGTTTTATTTCGTCATGTTCTCACATTGTGCACAATATCAGTGTTTTGTGTATGTTTCTATCGCTGTTTATCTTAACTATTGTTTTGTTCTTCCATACAAAAAAAAAAAAAGTTTTCTAAAAATGCGCTACAGGACCATTGAA